TTCCTTTCCTTTCCTTTCCTTTCCTTTCCTTTCCTTTCCTTTCCTTTCCTTTCCTTTCCTTTCTTTCCTTTCCTTTCCTTTCCTTTCCTTTCCTTTCCTTTCCTTTCCTTTCCTTTCCTTTCCTTTCCTTTCCTTTCCTTTCCTTTCCTTTCCTTATTCCAATTTCCTTTAATTTCTTTAATTCTATTTATTTATTAATTTCTTTAATGCTATTCCTTTTTCTATCACTTTTTATTATTGTTTGATTTATTGATGATTTTATGGTTATCTATTTATGACAAGTGTTCATTCATTTATTACAAATTTTCATGTATTTATTTATCACCATTTTCATTATTGATTTCCTGTATTTTATGATTTTATTTTTACAAATTTATTGCATTTGTTTATTTATTTTTTATTTATTAACCACCGATTTTTATTTTTTATTTCATACATTTCATGATTTTATTTTTATGCATTTACTGCATCCATTTATTTAATTAAATTTATTTATTTCCCACACATTTCTATTAATTATTTCTTTGTGTGAATCTATTATTTATTGATTTATTATTATGTACTCTTGCTTTCTTTAATTTCCTTTATTTATTCCTTACTTTTTTAATGATTAATTTTACTTCTTGCTTTCTTTATTCCTTACTTTTATGATTGATTTCATTATTAATTTTGCTTCTTGCTTTCTTTATTCCTTACTTTTATGATTGATTTTATGATTAATTTTACTTCTTGCTTTCTTTATTGCTTACTTTTATGATTGATTTCATTATTAATTTTACTTCTTGATTTCTTTATTCCTTACTTTTATGATTGATTTCATGATTCATTTTACTTCTTGCTTTCTTTATTCCTTCCTTCCCTGACCGATGTAATGATTTACTATCACATATATTCCCCATTTATTCGAATTCTTTCTCCTTTCACTGCGGCTTGCTTGGGAATGACAAAACCCGGCGATTTCGGGCGCTTTCAGGTCAGAAAATTGATCGTTTTGGATCCCCAGAGGAGGCTGACGGTTCAGCAGGCGCTGGAGCACCCCTGGGTCACCGGGAAGGCGGCGAAATTCGCTCACATGGACAGCACGCAGAGGAAACTGCAGGAATTCAACGCCAGGAGGAAGCTGAAGGTGAGGGAGGGGACGGCGAGGGAGGGGACGGCGAGGGAGGGGCTGCCACGTCCCCATCCGCGGCCGGAGGGAGGCCTGGAAGGGCAGGATTTGGCCAACGCCCTCTGCGATCCCGAGGGAAAGGATGGAGCGGTGCCAGGGGGATTTTTGGGATGGGTTTTAGGGAAAGGTTCCTCCCCCCGAAGGTTCTGGGTGATGAATTCCCTCAATCCCGGCCCCGCTCCCCCCCTCCGCCTCCTCAGAGGTCCAGGAGGGTGGGGTGGGATTGTTGGGGCGGGATTGTTGGGTGGGATTGTTGGGGCGGGATTGTTGGGATTGTTGGGGTGGGATCGTTGGGATGGGATTGTTGGGGTGGGATCGTTTGGGTTGTTGGGATGGGATTGTTGAAATTGTTGGGTTGGGATTGTTGGGATCATTGGGATTGTTGGGATGGGATCACTGGATGGGATCACTGGGTGGGATTGTTGGGATTGTTGGGGTGGGATTGTTGGGTAGGATCATTGGTTTGAGATTGTTGGGGTGGGATTGTTGGGATTGTTGGGATTGTTGGGGTGGGATTGTTGGGATGGGATTGTTGGGATTGTTGGGATTGTTGGGATTGTTGGGATTGTTGGGATTGTTGGGATGGGATCGTTGGGATTGTTGGTCTTATTGGGATTGTTGGGATTGTTGGGATTGTTGGTCTTATTGGGATTGTTGGGATTGTTGGGGTGGGATCATTGGGATGGGATTGTTGGGTTTGTTGGGATGGGATTATTGGGATGGGATCATTGGGGTGGGATTGTTGGGATTGTTGGAATGGGATCCTTGGGATGTCCTGGGCTTTGGCCGGGCGATCCCCTCCGAACATTCCACAGCTCCCCAATTCTCTGCCTCTGTCCCAGGCTGCCATGAAAGCCGTGGTGGCCTCCAGCCGCCTGGGCAACCACGGCCACCACGACTGCTCCCGCAGCGGCCGCGGCCAGGGGGGACCCCGGGGCCTGGCCCAGCCCGGGGCGAGCGGCGGCCCCGGGGCCAGCGCGGAGCTCTGCGCGTTCCCGAGCGACCACCCCGCCATGGCCCCAGTGGCCCCGGTGGCCCCGGTGGCCCCGGTGGCCCCGGTGGCCGTGCCGGGGGCTGGCTGTGACAGTTAGCGGGCCCGGAGCGGTGACACCGCCGAGCCTTGGGGACCCCGAGATGGGGCACGGGCCCGTAGCGGTGACACCGCCGAGCCTTGGGGACCCCGAGATGGGGCACGGCCCCGCTGGACATCCTCGTGTCGCGTCCCGTCACCCCCGGTCGCTGTCCCGTGTCTGTGCCCGCCGGCTGAGGGGACGAGGCGGTGACTTTGTCTTCCCACTCTGCAGCAGTTTGAGCCGTTGTGGCTCGGAAAGATCCCGAAAAACGAGGCACAAACAGGATTTGTCCCACCTTTCCCTTCAAAGGCAGCGCGTCGTCTTTAAGGGGTTCCTGTAAATAACCCTGAAGATTTGGTTTTCTGTTTGATTTTTCTGCCAATTTTTCTGTTTTGTTCTTCTGTCACCAGCCCAGCTGTGGGGCTGCTGTGTTAGGAGGGGTTTTAGGAGACTTGGACCTTCAAATGTTTGATCCTCTCAGGAGAACAACCCATGCCAAGGCTTCCCTGGCCATTCCCAGGCAGCAGCCGAGCCCTGGTTGTGGTTTTTTGGGTGTGTTCCCCACCCTGAGCCGTGCTGTGGGTCCCTGGTGGTGCTGGTGGGGTGGTCACGGGCTGGGAGTGCTGGTCTGGTCTCCCTTTGGCGTTCCAGGTCAGGACTGACACAATTCTAACAGAACAAATTTACACAACTCTTGAATATTGCGAGACTTTGCCACCTAACTGCTGTTCCCTGAGGGAGATCAGTGAGTTTATACCTTTTTCAATTTTTGTTTTTTAATGAAATGGGCAGAGAGACTTCTTGAAAAGGAATTTTTTTTTTTTTTTTAAGGCAGGAAACAGGAATAGCCATTTACAGATTTTGATACAGAGCAAATGAACAGACAGCAAAAGCCATATTCCATGTGGGAATTGCAGAGAGCTGGTGGGATCCTGCCAGGGTTGAGCTCTAAGGCAGCCACCATGACCTGCACCCCCCACATTTTGGGCTTAGAACAGTGTGTTCAGGGTAAAAATCCCATCTAGAGGGGAATAAATTTGTACAGGAGGTTCATCCCCCCAGAATGGGGGTGCAGAATTGAGCAGCTGGGGTAGGAAGGGCAAAACAACCCCAAAATTGGAGGTTTTGCCAAAGGTGACGCAGCGATGATGGACCTGAGGGTGACAGAACAGGGTCAGGAGGCTGAGGTGGGAGCAAGGTGAGGAAAAATGGATTTTGGGTTAATCTCCAGCACGAGCAAAAATCAAAATAGCTCCAAGTTGGGATCCAGCCCGGAGCTCAGTGGGGGCTGGGGAGCCAAAGACAGCAGAAAAATGGGGTGTTCAAGAGGGGTTTTAACTGGGAAAAAACATCATGGCTTGGCCAGAGCTGCACTTTTGTGCACTTGAGTTGCTCTTTTGTGGGGAAGCAGCTGCCCAGCGAGGTGTCCCGGGGGGAACGGAGCCGCTGATCCCGCGGGACTCTGCAGCACAGGGAAGTTCCCCCTTTTTCTTTGCATTTTTGGCAGTTCTCCCCTCTCCTTTCTCTGGCCCTGAGGGCTGAGCCTTGCGGGGTGCTGTCCCATCCTTGTCGTGTCTCTGTGGGAGCTGAATTCCACCTCGTTGTTTCCCAACCCGGGTTTTAAAGACTGTTTTCTAGTTTTTGACATGAAATGCTGATTAAAGCCCCTCGCAGGACCAGGCTGGCACCCCCGGAGCCTGCGGAGCATGGAAGAGGCTGAATTCCTGCAGGATTCCCAGTCCTGCAGGAAAATGGGAATTACACTTGACAAATCAATCACTCAAAGTATCCCCAGCGGGGGAAGGCAGCGGGAGGAAGGAGGGGGCCCGCAAGCAAAACCAGAACGGGAATTTGTCTCTTATTATTATTGTTATTCCACAGGTATCCGTATTGACAGATAGGAAAAGTACACTCCTGGGAGCGAGCCTGGGGAGGAGCTTTTGGGTCTGTTGCTGTTTGCAGAGTGTGTTTGAGTGACTGCTTCGGTGTGGTGGTGACAGTTCTGACAGCCAGGTGTTTCTAACCAAGCAGAGACAGCGAATAAAGTGTCCAACCTCAGAGCGCCGGCTCCGTGTTGGCGTTTTCCTCGCAAAGCCGGGGCTAAAGTTTGGCATGCAATGGGTTGGGTGGGAAGGGAATTTAAGGATCTTCTCGTGTCCCCCCTGCCGTCCCCAGGGATGCCTTCCAGTGGATGGCTGCTCCAAGCCCCATCCAGCTGGGCTTTGGACACTTTCAGGGGCGGGGCAGGCACAGCTGCTCTGGGAATCGCATTCCAGATTGGGTTGGGTTGGGTTGGGTTGGGTTGGGTTGGGTTGGATTGGATCAGGTTGTGTTGGATTGGTTTGGGTTGGGTTGGATCAGATTGGGTTGGGTTGGATTGGGTTGGATTGGGTTGGATCAGATTATGTTGGGTTGGGTTGGATTGGATCAGATTGGGTTGGGTTGGATTGGTTTGGATCAGATTGGGTTGGATTTGATTGGATCGGGTTGGATTGGGTTGGGTTGAGTTGGACTGGGTTGGATTGGATTGGGTTGCATGGGATTGGATTGGGTTGGGTTGGTTTGGGTTAGGTTGGGTCGGGTTGGGTTGGGTTGCGTCGGATTGGGTTGGGTTGGATCAGTTTGGCTGGGTTGGATTGGATCAGATTGGGTTGGATTTGATCAGTTTGGGTTGGGTTGGGTTGGGTTGGGTTGGAGCCGCCCGGCCGGTGCCGGCTCTGTCCGTGCCCATGGCCGGGCTCTCAGCGCCATCCCGACCAAGCCATTACGTCACGTCACAATTCCCGGCTATGACGTCACTCGCCCTGTTGCCATGCCGCACCCCCGCCCGCCTCCCAGACTGGGCGTGGCTTCCGTCTAACCCACCAATAGAAGGCGTGGTGGGCGTGACTGAGGCAGAACCGTGCTCTCTGATTGGCTGAGCCTCGCGTTTTGGCGGCGGCGGGGTAGGCGGGGCGCCAGGCGGCGCTCGCTGATTGGTCCGGGGAGGCGGTGCCGGGCGGTGAGCGCGCGGCGCACGCGCAGAGCCTCATGTGGAGGGCGGCGGCGGCGCGCGGGGGGCGGCGTTGTCGGGAGCGCGCACGGTAACGGTGCCCCCCCCCCCCCCAAACCCCGGGGCTTAAAGCGGGGCCCGAGGGGGACACGAGGCTCCGGGGCTATCACCGGCACCGGGATTCCGTTTGGGAGTCCCGCCCAAGCGAGGGGCCCGTCCCTCCCTTCACCTGGGAAGGTTGGGGGCGACCCCTGTGAGGGGAGGGTTTGAGGGGTGCCGTTCCTCCCCTCAGCGGGGCGCTTGGAGGGTCCCATCCCTCACGGAGCAGGGTTGGGGTCCTGGACCGTCTTTCCCCTCACCGGTTCGGGTTTGGGCTCCCTGTCCCGTCCCTCAGCGAGGGCCGGATTTTGGGGGTCTCTCCCCTCAGCGAGGCCGGAATTTTGGGCGTCTCTGCCCTCAGCGAGGCCGGGATTTTGGGGGTCTCTGCCCTCACCGACTGTCGGACTGTGGGGGTCTCTGTCCCGTCCCTCACCAAGGGCGGAATTGTGGGGGCCTCTCCCCTCACCAAGGGCGAGATTTTGGGGGCGTCTCTGCCCTCACTGTCTGTCGGATTTTGGGGGGGTCTCTCCTCACCAAGTGCCGGATTTTGGGGGGGTCTCTCCTCACCGACTCGGATTTTGGGGGTCTCTCCCCTCACCGACTCGGATTTTGGGGGGGTCTCTCCTCACCGACTCGGATTTTGGGGGGGTCTCTCCTCACCGACTCGGATTTTGGGGGGGTCTCTCCTCACCGACTCGGATTTTGGGGGTCTCTCCTCACCGAGTGCCGGATTTTGGGGGTCTCTGCTCGCACCGACTGCCGGATTTTGGGGGTCTTTCTCCTCACCAAGGGCCGCATTTTGGGGGTCTCTCCTCACCAAGGGCCGGGTTTTGGGGGGTCTCTCCTCACCGACTGTCCGATTTTGGGGGGTCTCTCCTCACCAAGGGCCAGATTTTGGGGGTCTCTCCTCACCAAGGGCCGCATTTTGGGGGTCTCTCCTCACCAAGGGCCGGGTTTTGGGGGTCTCTCCCCTCACCGACTCGGATTTTGGGGGTCTCTCCCCCCACCTACTGTCGGATTTTGGGGGGGTCTCTCCTCACCGACTGTCGGATTTTGGGGGTCTCTCCTCACCAAGTGCCGGATTTTGGGGGGGTCTCTCCTCACCAAGGGCCGGATTTCGGGGGTCTCTGCCCGCACCGGGGGCGGTCCGGGGGAGGGTCCCGTCCCTCCCCTGCCGGCGGGGGCGGTTTGGCCGTCCCGTCCCTCCCCTCTCGTGGGTTTTTTTGGGGCCGGGCGGTTCCCGCTGTCCCCGCGCCGCCTCCCGGGGTCCCGCACCGGCCCCGCCGTTCCGGCTAATCGCCCCTCGTCCCTTCCCTCCGCCGCCGCAGGGCCGCGATCCCGGAGCCGCGGCCATCCCAGCACCTGGACCTTGTAAGTACAGGGACATCTTTAATGTGTCTTTTTTCTAAAGCCTTTGAAGAACCGCTGAGGGCTCTGAGGCCGCCCTGCTCCGGTTTCTGTTGCAAATCATGTGTAAAAATTGGGATCGAATTACGTGTAAAAAGTCTACCCAGCGCGTTATTTTTAGGGTGTAGTTCCCTGTTTTCAGGGTTTGGTCGCAGGAAGCTGTGGATTGGGCAGGCCCATGGCTGCATTGTGTAATTCTTGATAGTCTTTTTGCCTCACCCAACACACTCGGTGAGAGGCAGTTGTGCTCCTGGAATTATGGAATTCTTGAGTCCTGGGATCGTTTGGGTTGGAAGGACCTAAAGCCCATCTAGTCCCATCCCTTGCTCCAAACCTTGTCCAACCTGGCCTTGGACACTTCCAGGGATGGGGCAGCCACAGCTTCTACAGAAAAATGGAATTTAAGATAGAATATTGGAGAAGCTGCAGGGTGATATCAGTGCAGTGATCCCAAAGGTAAAACAATAATAAATGTAGTAATATGTTTGATTAAATCCTGTATTTCCTTAAAAAAAAACAAAAACCACAATGGACAAAGATGGGTGACTCCTTTATTCCCTTTTTTTCCCCTCAGAACACCTTGGCATTGCCCTTTTCCACGTGAAGCTCAGCCATGACTGACCAAGAGTTCGTTCTCTGCAAGTGGAAGAGGCGTTTGTGGCCAGCCAAAGTAAGGAGGAATGAGGAAATGTTTGTGAGGGTTGCTTGGAGCAGAGCAGGAAGGGAGAAGTCCCAGCAAACCTGTCTGAACTTGTCCGAGCCTTGGAGATTCCAGCAGGAAAAATGGAGAGGGCCTGGAGCAATGGGACAGGAGGGGGAATCATTTCTCACTGACAGAGGGCAGGGTTGGATGGGGCATTGGGGAAAAATTCCTCCCTGTGAGGGTGGGGAAGCCCTGGAATGGCTCTCCAGAGAAGCCGAGGCTGCCCCGACCCTGGAAGTGCCTAAGGCCAGGGCTTGGAGCAGCCTGGGGCAGGACTGGGATGAGATTGGATTTAAGGTCCCTTCCCACTCAGTCCATCCTGGGATTTTATCACTCCACAATCCTAAGGCTGCTCCCAGGCACTCTCAAGCTGCTCTTAGATAAGCGTTTTGCTGTTGGTCAGGATTTTAAATGAAGATTTCTCACTTTTAATGTAGGTTTTGTGCAAACCTGGAGTTGCCGGGAGCAGTCCTGTTGCCGCCACAAAAAAGATGGGATTTAAAGCTGAAATCCTTGGCTTGGAGAAGCAGTTGAGTATCCTTGTTCCTATCACGGGCTTGCATTCTGAGGGGTTAAAAAAATAAGGGGAAGGAAGGAATCCTTTTATCTGAAGGTGCCTGTGAGATGGAATCCTGGATTTGCAGAAGGTTTAGGTGTTTAACCCTAGCAAGGACAGGTTGGGGGAGGGAATGTTTGGGGTTTTTGCTGTCTGAGAGCAGTTTGGTGGTGCTGGGAGTGTTTTGCTGCTGGTTATAGTCACCTTTTTGTGTTCCAGAGTCAGTGTGAGCTCTGCAAATGTGGTTCCCCTGACAGAGGAGCAGATCAAGGCCATCGCCTCCACCCTGGGTGAGGAGGGAGGGACCCAAATGTGCTGCTTTGTGTCTTTTCTGGCTGTAAAATACCTGTAAAACCTCAGCCCCAAATGTGCTGCTTTGTGTTTTTTCTGGGTGTCAAATCCCCGTAGAAACTCAGCCTGGGGGGAATAAAACTTTAGTATTTCACTTAGTTTCTTTGCCCCTTTTCCATAAAGTTGGAAAATAGGTTAAAAATTATCATTTTCCTCTTCCCTGGGGTGGTTTGTTGGAGGAATGGTGAAGAAATGTGAGTTTCCCTCAAAATGAGGCACTTCCAGCTTGATCTTTGTGTGTCTCCATCCTTTGCCTTGGGAATTGTGGATGATTTAAGTAGTAAAAAATGCACCTTCAAAGAAACACTACAAGTAACGTTTATTATTTCTTTAATAATACATTTTGTTCATGAGAGAATAATGAGGATAATTTCATTTATTGAATATTTTTCCTCATCAGAGCAAAAGACAAGCATGAGTGAGGCCGTGGAGGAGCTGCAGTATCGCTGTTCCCTTAAAATTGCCCTGGATATTCTCCATCAGACTGACCCCTGCAGTGAAATGCCACCTGCAGAAGGACCAAATCCCGAATTTTCCCGGGAGAAATCTGCCCCACCCACCCCCTCCCACGGCTTCTTGTTACGCTCCCGCTCTAAAAAGTCGGAACCTGAGGCTGCCAAGAGGAAAAGAAAACCCCAAAATAACTGTGGGCTGAAGGATGAGCCCAAGGCACGCAGCCGGGGAGGTTCTGTGGCTCCAGTGGGGAGGGGAAAAGCACCTGGAAGTGGCACAAACCCTGCCAGGGACTCGAGTGTAGCACCAGCCCCTGACAGCCACAACTGCAAAAAACCAGAACCAAAATCATCACCCAGGCAGAGGAAAATCCAGCCCAAAATGGGGGATGGAATCTCCTGTAAGCCGGAGGCTGGAAGAAGTCAGCAAGAAAGGAAAAGAAGATGTAGGGATGATTCCCCCCAGGATCAAGCACAGGTGGCTCCTGAGGAGGGGTCTCCC